CAAAAGGGGGAGCTTCAATGCACTGATTTAGTTGAAGGTGTGGAAATTGACAAGGGCTGTCGTGAACTGTGACTTGGATGATGTACAAGAAACACCTAGGAGTCCAGGCGTGTTTGGTGTTTTATTTTGTTTTGTTTTGTTTTGTTTTTTTCATTCCTTTTCCGACACAAATCGACCACAGAAACTTCCAGAAGCCCGAGAGTCCCCAGAGTAGGGAAACACGTACCTCCTCCTTCTCAGATCGACCTCCCAGCCTAGGAAACGCGCCAAGAATCCGGGCGCGACCTGCGCTCTCGCGCTCAGCCCATGCTAGGTGTTCTCACCTTCCTTGACAAGGAGGGGCCCTAGTGCCTTAGGGATGGAGGTGATAAGTGATGTTTAGCTACAAGTCAATGGCTAAGAGGGTGATTTTTGGGCTTAAGAATGTCTCAATCATATCAGCCAGAAGAGCAGAGCAATTTCTTCTAGCTTAAGCTTTGGTCCCCTAACGCTGAACTTTCTCCAGGACCTTGCAGAGGCTTGAACTTGGCTCTCTGAGCAGGGCGCTGGCTGACGCTCCTTGGGCGCAAAGGCAGACACTCGGATGCTCAACAAACCTTTCTCAAGGCTGTTCCCTCTTTCCGGGGAAATAAAGCCTAGATTGGAACCTTCTGCCCGGCTTCCTCACTTGGCCGTCTGGTCTGCATTAGTGTTTTTATAAGGGACTCAAACAAATCGAATACAAGGTCACCAAATAATTAACAGTTGTGAATTCCCTTCATCCCCATTAAAATACTTCCCTGCTTATATTTCATTTTCCGTTTGCCAACGACAACAGGGTCCGGGCAAAAAGCGTAGCTGCGTGATTACACCACGCTCCAGCCCAGATTCACCCAGAATCCCTCAGTTCTGCGTAAACAGGCGGTCGGGGCCCCAAACTTCAATCGTGAGGGCGCTGGGCAGCTTCCCCAAGGCCCGCCTGCAGCAGGGCTGCTCCCAGAACTGTCCCACCCCCTATAATCGCGACCCAGGAGGTAAATCTAGAAGCCAACCAACATCAAGGGCAGACTGTCTTGCCAGCTAAACCAGAGACCCTCAAGGATGCTCTGATCTCGTTTTGCTTTGTTTTTGTTTGTCTCCTCCTGCTTCCTTCCTAAATGCGTCATTGTAACAACAAAACATTTTAAATTCATATTCTTCTTTCAAAATCACCTGGGAGCTTAGCTCACAACCTATTCTTAGGCTCACTTTAGTTCTCTTATCCTTGGGGGTCCTTCTTACGTCTCCTTGGGGTGGCGTTTTGGATTATGTAAACTGAATGTCTGCGTTTTGTCTCTCCGTCTGTCTCTCCACCGCGCGATAGCTGGCCATATTGAATTCCTACTGCTAACTGCTCGCCTTTCTCAAGCCCCAAGCCTGGTGGTCCAGGGGCCCCCTGTAATAGTGACCATTTACCGAGTTGTTTCATGTGTTAATTGTACTTTTCCTACGCTCACTCTGGTCCATCTTCATCCTCAAATTACAGACAAGATAGTTAAAGCTCTTTTTAAAATATGGAGTCATTTTAAAAGTTCAACGACAAGTTCAGTTGATGGTGGCTTTGCTAAAACAACTGAAAACCAAGACAGAGCACAAATTCACGCCCAGAGCTCCAAAGTCCCAGTCAAACTCTTCCCTTCCAATTAACTGGATTTTGACCGCCTGTAGAAGCATATCTATCACGAGGAAATCTATCACAAATTCTGGCTTCTGCTTCTTGTCAACCCTCCAAATCCCCCTCAGCCTCCGCTCGGCCCATTAGAGTGCTCTACATAGTGAGGCAGGCAGGGCCTAGAATCAGACTCTTCTCACTAGCTCTGAAACCTCCAGCAACTTGCTCCTCTGTGTCCTCTTTAGTTCACCTGTTAAAAGGGGTGATTCTAGCGTTTTGCCCAGAAATTGTTAGGAGGCTTAAACAAAGCAAGCACAGTACTTGGTGCACAGTAACCGCTCGGTGCACCTGGGCGTTTATGATTGCCCTTAGATGCTTGGCCATCAAACCACATTAACACCAAGCAACTAAACTTGCAGAAAGGTCTGTCCCCGTCAAAGTGTGGGGTGATGGAGGATGCTGCCTTTACAGAGCTACAGCGCTCTTCATTCATTGTGGACGTGTTTATCCCAGCTCAGCATCTGATCCTCCGCCTTCAATGTAACTTTCGGAGTTTCAGCGTCAGAAAGGCTCTTTGCAAAGACTGAATCTGCATTGCTCATGCCTAGTGAGCCAATTTAGGATTCTTTTCTTTGCTCGGTCCTAAGGAACCCCAGCTCCTGGGAGCCAAGCCTGCACTATTCAAGGGCAATTTAAACGCCCCTTAGGCCAGGTGCCGGATTCTGTGTGCTGGCCCCGCTCCAGACTGGGCCCTGCTCTTTCATCCCAGACCCACTATTCTGCAAGGGCGGCGCGGGGGGAGGGAACTTGAGGGTTTGGCGCGGTTAAAAGCCCCCACGTGAGGGGGGCGGAAGTCCTGCCTGCAGCCGGTGATGCGCGGCTGGCGGGTTCCTTCCATCACGGGAGACTAGACACCGTTTGATGTGTTATGACATGAACCCTCAATTAGATCGCTGAGTTGAAACACTCCAATCAGAGGCCCAATGCTAAGCAAGCCCCGGAAGGTCCAGCCTGAGGTCACCGCTGGTGACACATCAAATCAAAATCAGTGAGAGGGAAAGTGAGGCTTTCCCTTCATCAAGCTGGGGCTGCAGCGGGCAGCAGGCTCCCTCCCCGGCGCCCTTCCCCAGGCCCCCCCAGCCCAGGCTCCGTACTCCTTCGCCCCCGCGTGGTGTGCGACGAGCTGCTCCGCCTTCCCAGCAAACTAACTGCCTCGTTCGCTTTTTCTGGGAACCTGGGGGCAGAGAGGAGACACCGCCTTTGAAGCTGCGGCGCGGGTGGCCACGCTGCGTCTCCTCCCGGTGCGCCACCGCAGGCAGTTCCAACTCACGGAGGCATTCTGGGGTGGATGTTGGACGTCTAAACTCTGTCCCGCTGGCCTGGAGACCTCGGCTCGAGGATTGAGCCTCCCCTACTCCCAGTCTGGGCGCGCAACCAGGCCCTTCCCGACCTCAGGGCGCAGAGCGATGCTGGGGGGTGGCTACAGGGCAAGCCACTGTGAAGCACGACTGGAGCCCCAAAGACCCCTCTCCTCTCGCCTGTGCGGAAGCAGGCTTCCGTACACACCTCTGAAGGGCCAGCAGAGTCTTTGATCCTGTGCCAAACCCAAAGGGCGCAGTGAACGCTTAGGGGTGCCTGCTTGGTGGAGGGGAAGGGATGCTCGCCTTTTCCCTTTAGGAAAGCAGTGTGTGCGTCCAACAGCCGGCCAGGCAGGATCCCGGGGATTTCTTCCCCGGGGTAAGGGCCTCTTAAACAGCTCCCTGAGCCTCTTTAGCGTTTCCTTGGGAAGAAAGCTTTTGAGAAGGTGAATGAACAGAGAACTTGGCGAGGGGTGAGGTTGGAAGCCGAGGTCGGGTTGGTGGCGAGCTGTGCAGACGGCAGGGACACACTTGCATCGCTCTGAAGATGCAAGGCGACTTTGTAAAGGGGGCTTTAGCTACCTTAAATAGCATACAGTACCAGGCGTCAGTCTGTCCTCCTGACCTTTCAGCAACTCCTGAGCCTCACTGACTTCAGGCTACACCCGCTAATCAAGCGTAGGCAAGACCCGCGCCCATAAGAAAGGCGGCTTTCAGGAAGGAGGCCTGGAGCTAGGGGACAGTTCACTCGCACCCAAAGCTTCTAGAAGGTGCGAGCGCCCACAGTAGCGAGGTGGACAGCCCCTTCAGGCCGAGCCCAGCGCTCTCGGGCCCCTGGACGACCCCTTCCCCTGATCTGGGAGCGGGAAGCTGAACACCCACCAACGCCATAGAGCTATGAACCAAGCAGTGGAGAGCTGCCTGGATCTCCCTTCTTCCTTTCTTCTCATACCCTTCCTCTCTCTCCTCTTCCTTTCCGACCTTTTCCTCCAGTCCTTTGCCATGTTTCCTTCCACATTATTGCCTTTCTACGGGAGCTGCGTTTCCGGCGCCTATAGATCCCTCCCCAATTTCAGAGCCCAGCGGGACCGCTAAGTTTTCTCGAGAAAGCATTCGCCACACTGTGTCTGGACTGAGACCAACGCCCACAGACCCTGGGTGAGTACAGGGGTTTCTGCAGACACCCACACATGCGCCAGCACCCTGGGAGAAGTGAAGGGAGAGGGCAAGTGCTTGGCTGAGGAAGTGGGTGCGCACACCCGTGGCCTGAGGACCAGCAAACCTCCAAACGTAAGCGCCACTAACTGGGTTTAGCCCGCCAGATGCTACTGTTGCAAAGACTACCCGAGCTGCGCCCTCTGAGCGGCCGGGGGCGGGACGCGCAGGATCGAGGTCCAGGAGCGCGGAGTGCCACCGCCAGCATCAGCCAGTGGCGTAGAGAAAAGAGACAGCGAAGCTGCTGGGCCAGGATTCTGCCGGGTGGTTCTCGGACGCGCCTCCGACGGTGGGACCCGTGGATGGACGCTGGCTTTCCCCGGATCACACCGGAGGCCCATGCTTCCCAGTGCTCACGCGCCTGGGACCATGATCACCCTGGTCATTCAGGCTTTGATCTCGCACGTCTTTAACAGTTGAGACCCCCCCCCCCCCCCCCCGGTTCCCCCAAGGCATAGAGTCTGTCCGTTCCCCCTGTGCTCTATCCCTCTCCATCCTCGCTATCTGCCTGTCACCTCCCCTCCTCTGTTCTCCCTACACCACCCAACGGAGCAGCGGTCAGCACGCCTCTTTCAGCAAAAGACAAGTGGAAGAAGGAAGTCAAGGAAGATTGCAGACGGGAAGAAAAACCTGAACTTGGACTGGGGAAACTTGCGCTAGTTTGGAAAAACTAGTAAAGAACGCGAGCGCAGAGCAGGAGCGAAATCCACCCGCGCAGTCCCGAGCTGGAGCCGGAGCAGCGCCCTCTCTGCAGCGCTCCGGGGCGGAGGGAGTCTGGCGTCTTCTCTGCCACTTACCTAGTCCCCTGTCTACAAAGCTAGTGATGGTATTCGCCGACTTGGAAGACTGGAAAAAGCTGGCGTTGATGCCTAGCTTCTCCGCGATGGAGTAAGTCCTGTAGATGGACAGCATGTACTCGTGGGGTACGACCCGCGGGCCCCTGCCAGGCGGCGCCTGTGCCTGCGGCTGCTGCACCCGCCGCCGGGGCTCGTCCTGCCGCCGCGGCCGGGGTTCCTGGCGCTCCGGGGGAGCCCGGTCCGCAACACTCTCTCGCGGCGCCCGAGGCACTTTCCCTTCCTTGCGGCTTCCCACGTCCTTGGCCGAATCCAACTCCCCGGACGACGACGAGGAGGAGATGGAAGCTTGATGGAAACCCGGCAAATCCCACAGGAAACTGATGAGGAAGACAGCCGATAGCAGGACCCGGGGAGTATCCATGGCGAGCCAGAAACTGCGTCTCCCGGAGAGGCGGCAGCGCAGGGCGCGAGAGGCAGAGCGCGGCTGGACAGCGGCCGGGGCCCCGCTCCTCCGGCGGACTCCGAGTGCGGCGAGCCGGGTCCCAGCCACACAAACCCCGGCCTGCCACGCCCCCGCCCGCCCCTCGCCTGGAGGGGAGGGGACGGCCGGTGGGAGGGCGGCGGGGCGGTGCCGCGGGAGGTGTGGGGGGGAGAGGGG